TCCCTACTAATAAGAACCCACTTGGTTTCTTGGGTTTGTTGAGAAAGGGAGTTGATTGAATCCACTAGCTGTTCGGATTGTCCAAACTCACTCCCCCCATTAATCATAGATAATGTCTAGGAAGAGTCTGATATGATATAAATGTGAGTAAATCCTTTAACTAAAGCTAATCTTAACCCATGAAATATGCCCCAAAGTTCTGACTGAACAACAGAATTGGCCTCTAGAGAACGAGCAAACCCCCCTGCATACATGCCTGAATGATTAATAAGCAAGCCTCCACAAGCAGTCTTATTGGTTCGGTGTGAATGTGCTCCATCGCAATAAACACGAACCCAAGGAGACCATTGAGATGGGACTGTAAGTATCTCCCTACATTGAAACCTTGAAATGCCCGTAAGGTCTCTTTTAGCATGGCCAATATCCTCAACATATCTACTCTTATTCGTCAAAATGATGGAGTTCAACTCCCATTTTTCTAAGAAGACTAATTCATTCCTGCGTCTCCAAATAAGGTCCACCATAACACTGAAATCAATGTTCCAACTCCCTCTCTTAATAGAGTAACCATCAAAATTATGAAGGATCCAAAGTTGAATATCCATGTCACCAAAGAAAGTCTCATGAGATTGGAATAAGAGTTTTCGCCAAAGGAGTTCAGTGGGAGGGCAATCCCTCAACACATGGAACGTCGTCTCAGGTTGAGATTGACAAACAGGACATAAATTACATTGTGCCATGCGTCTCCTACTACGATTCTCATTTGTTAGAAGAGCATTATGCAAAATCCTCCACAAGAGCAATCTGATTCGTTGCAGTCCTGGCCACTTCCATATGAGCTTAAAGACTTGAGGGTGTTGAGGGGGAGTGAGGTTATGGGCACTTAGAGAGGAAATGGCTGATTTGACAGAAAAAATACCATCATGTGAAGGTTTCCAAAGGAGACAATCAGGTTTGCAAGACATGTTGGGAGGCGAGATTGTGGAAATGATATTACAAATGTTAAGTGGGAGCACAGATAGTAAGCCAATATAGTTCCAATGCCCATTCTCTGTAACCATGTCACGAACCTTCCAGTTTAATTGTTGTTCCGAGAGGGAAGAAATAACCTTATGACGGAGAGGTCCCACCGTTGGGATCCAATTATCCTTCCAAAAGCAAATAAGATTTCCTTTACCAAGCTTCCAAACAACGTTGTCGGTAAAGAAATTCCAAGAATGCGAGATTCCTCTCCAACAGTTCGAGGATTCTCGATTATAAGACATGATTGGGACTAGATTAGGTCCACATTTATATTTGGATCTAAGCACTTGAACCCATAGATCAGATTGCTTCATATAGATTTCCCAAGCCAACTTGAGCATGAAAGCCTCATTAAGGATTCTAGTGGGTCTGAAACCTAAACCCCCTACTTTCTTAGAGGTACACAACTTATCCCATGCAACCATGTGGACTCCCCTATGATCATAATTCCCACCCAAAGAAATCTACGACAAATTTTATCAAGCTCATCACAAATGGATCGAGGGATAAAAGTGGATTGCATGATGTAAGAGGGGAGAACCACTAGAACAGATTGTGTAAGTGTCAATCTACCAGCTAGGGAGAGGGTACGGGCTTTCCAAGAGCTTAATCTATTTTCCACTCTGTCAATAACACTTGCAAAAGTAGCCTTGCTGACCCTGGAATGAAGGAGGTTAACACCCAAGTACTTGCCCAAATTAGAGGTGGATTCAAAACCGAGCCCGTGACTGAGTTCTAGTTGAGACTGCATAGGGAAATTTTTTGAAAAGAAAACACGTGTCTTGTCCTTGCTAACACGTTGACCAGAAATAGTACAAAAAGTGTTTAGACAGTCATTGATGAGGTGCACTTGTTCCATGTTAGCTTCTGCCAGTAAAACCAAATCAGCAGCAAAAGCTAGGTGGGGGTTGAGACAGTCATTGATGAGGTGCACTTGTTCCATGTTAGCTTCTGCCAGTAAAACCAAATCAGCAGTAAAAGCTAGGTGGGACAAGGAAGGCCCATCTTTGGAAATACGGATTGGCTTCCAGACCTTCGATCTCAACTTATCTTCTATGAGGTGCAATAATCTTTCCACACACATGAAAAATAAGTATGGGGAGATGGGATCTCCCTGCCTGAGACCTCTAGATGGTTGGAAAGCTTCAAGGGCCTCTCCATTCCAAAGAACCTGCATAGAAGAAGAAGTGATACATCCTTGTAGAATATCAATTAGATTGCATGGGCAACCAATGTCATTAAGGGTATCAATAACAAATTCCCGGTATAAACGGTCATAGGCTTTCTCAAGGTCTATTTTGATGGCCATCCATCCCACCTTACCCCTCTTGGTCTTCATAGAATGTATAACTTCTTGCATGATTATAATATTATCCCTACTGTGGTGGTTGGGGACAAAACTGCATTGAATCGGGCTGATTAAGTCTTGCATCACCACCTTAAAACGTTGAGCCAGAACCTTAGTCAGCACTTTGTAAGAAACATTACAAAGGCTTATTGAGCGAAAGTGTGTCAGTTTAGTGGAGGGTTCAATTTTGGGAATAAGACTAATCAACGTATTATTGATGGATTGAATTTTGCTCGGGTCCCTGAAGCACGTTTGGATCAATTGGCAGTGAGAAGATCCCACCACTTCCCATTGATGCTTGTAAAAAACTGCATGCAGGCCATCCTCCCCTGGAGCTCTAAAATTGGGCATGCTAAAGAGAGTCTTCTTGATCTCGTCATAGGAAGGATATTTAGAGAGCTGCTGTAATTTTAAACTATCTAGTTTAGGGAAGCGTTGCATGATGGAAAAGGGACGATAGCCGTCATCCAGCTTGAATAAGTTCTTATAAAAAATAGTCACCATATCCTCCAACTTGTCCCTGTCGTGAATCCAAGTACCACAACTGTCTTGAAGACTAAGAATATGATTCTTCCTTCTCCGAATGATAGTGGAACAATGAAAGAATCGGGTATTACGATCACCAAAGTTTAACCATTTGAAGCGGGATTTCTGATATCACAATAACTCCTCTCTAAACAAAATCATTAGGAGGTCCCTCCAAAGATCATGTTAGAGGGTGTAGAGGAAAGGGTTTAGAGGCTTGTTGAGAGGTTGGGCCCTAGCAATGCCATTTAACCTTTTCATAATAATGCGTTTTTGGTTTTGGATGGAACCAAAAACGTTGACATTACAGTCTTTAAGAGAATTGCAAAAACGCGAAATTTTCCTGTCCCAAGGTTCAGTAAGGGGCCAGTTGTCTCTAACGAAACTCTCGAATCCGCTTGAAAATGAAAAGGTCTTCTGTGGGGGTTAGGACTAGCTTTCTCCTCCATTTTAACTAGTAAGGGAGCATGGTCAGATTTAAGAGGGTGCAAATGGAAGACAGAAGCAAGCGGGAACCTGACTCTCCAAGCTTCATTGATTAAGAGTCTATCCAAGCGCGCTTTCTGATTACCCTTCATCCACGTGAACAGATATCCCACATGGTGAGCATCGAAGAGGTCACAACAACGGGCCACCTCCTTAAAGGTATTGGAATCACGACGAAGGGCTGGGCAGGGAGACCCTTCTCTCTCATACAAATATAAAACTGAGTTGAAGTCGCCTAGCGCTCCCCAAGGCTCGTGGATATTGCGGGCAATGTCAGAAAGTTGATTCCAAAGGAAATGTCAATTACTAATATGAGGGCTGCCATATATCGCTGTGAGGAGCCAAGGGGTGGAATTCATGTATTGCACTCTCATGTGTACATGGAAATCAGAATCACTCAAAACATGGACTTGTCAAGTGTGATTCTGCCAGAGAATCCAAAGCCCACCAGCTTGGCCTCTTGATTCCACTATATGAGAATTATTAAAGCTAGACCTAGATAAGGTCTTCATAGCTCGATCATGATTAGCATGTGTTTCAACCAGGATCACACCAGGGAAGAATTGTTATTTATTGCGAGGTCTTTTAAAAGGGAAGGAAAAATCTCACTTCTTGTGCCTCTATAATTCTAAGAGATGATGTTCATCATAAAGAATTGTGATGTTGATGCGTCGCTGAAGACGCTGAAGTAAGATGTGGCACGTCAGGAAGAGTAGACTCCTTTGCATGCATGTGAGTGGGTCCATTAGAACTACTACATAAGGATGGTCCTCGAGTGACTATCCCGATCTTGGATTTCACACTATTGTCACCAAAATGGTCAAAGTTGATCTTCTCAAAGCCATCAGCGTCCATGTGAATCCTATGAAGGATGGGATAATCAATGGTAAGATTACCATTTTGTTTCTCCAAGAGAGACATAAGTTTCACCATCTCTCTATCTCTCTCCTTTACCTTTTCTCTCTCCATTTTGATGGCTTCACTAGAGGTCATTTGAGGGGCCTGAGCTGACACATCCACCTTAGGAGCCTTGGGATGGATAGTCACGCCTTTTGCTCGAGTGAGAGCCTTCAAATTCGGCTTTTTGATTATCTTACCTTTCCTAATACCATTAGTAGCCTTTTTGGGTTGAGTTTTTTTACCTCCTGTATTGTTCCGTACGCGTACAACGGTCAAAAGTTGTTGTACAGGTTGTGGTGGGGTTGCGTCTTGGTTGAGTGACATAGAAGAATGCATTTTTGCAGGTGTAGTTTGCAACAATATCCCTTGGGATCCGGGCTTTGTAGGAAAAGCAGGTTTTGTCGTGTTGTGGATCTTAGGGGTCTCTTTCCCCACTTCACCAATCACCAGCGTGTGTTGCTCACGGGTTTTTTGGCTGGTTTCTGACGAGAGGTCCTCTTGACCAACATCCATGGCCCAAAGGTAGAATCTTCCGTCACTTCAGACTTGTTGACTTCCTCCACCAACTGTTGAGACAGACCCTCTTACAAAGTGGTTAGGGCAGAAATAGGTTTATTTATTGAAGAAGGGGTTATCTCTCCCAAACTACATTGCTCCTTTCTATGGCCATAAGTTTCGCACTTGAAACAAATTGAGTGGAGTCCTTCATACTCTAGAAAAATGCGGTGCCCTCTTACCATGATGTGGGTAGCTAGAGGACGAGAGAGATCCATTTCTATGCAAATGCGGGCGAACTTCCCTCGAGACTGAATGGAGGTTAGTTTATCAATTTTTAACATGCTGCCCAGTATACCTCCAACTCGGTTGAGGAATCGTGATTTGTAAAGTTCGATGGGTAGTCGTGGGATTCTAACCCAAACTGCCACTTTTTGCACCTTCTCCGCATTCGCAAGGAAGAAAAGTCTCCACCTTTGGACAATGAGATAATGGTCTACGACCATCCACGGACCCTCAAAGAGAGGAAAGTTATAGTCATCCCCTGAGGAAAACTTCACCAGGTAGAAGTCCTCAAGCATATCAATGATGGATATTGGGCCACCTTTTGTCCAACATCTTTGCAACTTGCTTTCTAAAGTTCGGAAGTTCACTCTTTTTCCTAACACTTTCACCACTAGAGTCTTCTTTCAAGGTTCCGACCAACTCTCCCATTCCTCATCTGTTAACGGAATCACGGGACCTTTTTCGTAAGGCCGCGGTGAAGTTTCTTCCTCCTTGTACTAGCTATTCTCAAGCAGGTCCTCCTCGTCCTCATCATTAGGTTCATCGTCTCCCATCACCGAATCCTCTTTATGATTCAGGAGTGAGTCCTTGTAGGAGAGAGCATGAGTGCATGGAGAGGTCTGGGGGGGAATCGTATCTACCACCGCTTCGTCCAGCATATCTTCTTTCATCTTGGCCTTTTTGGTCGGTTGCTTGGTGGACTCCACCAAATCGACATCCATGGGACCACGAACTTTTCAATCTCTAATCCAAAAACCCAGTACGTTCCTTACTCTTTAGTTCTTTAACAACTTTAATACGTTGCAGGTGAAGATGTTCGCTCTCTTCACGCAACAAGAATGTGAGTTGGCAATGGAAGGAAAAGCAAAGTTGTCAATTGATCTTATATATGCATAGAAGAATACAATAATAAAAAAAGGGGCATATCATAATATTGTTATTGTTAAGTGACGAAGTTATGGTAGAAATCTCAAGAGAAAAGACTACTGACAAGCTTTAGGTAAAGCTTAAAAGTCGGTATATGACAAAATCTCTCTATAACCATCTATGCTAGAAGAAACAATTATATACCATGCAAGTGCATGAAAGTGAGTCCATTCACAACCATATTGATAATTTCAACCAAGTTGTTTTTATTTTGAAAAAAAAAAATGATGTTGCAGTTGATGACGAAGACCAAATTATTCTTTTCCTTAATTCTTTGCCAAGAGCTTATAAAAATTTTGTAAACACAATAATTTTCAATAGAAGCTCACTATCAATGGAGGAAGTTAAAAGTTAAAATAACCTTACAATCTTGGGAATTCAAAAGGTGTATTATTGATTCATATAGTAGTACCAACTCGGGTGAAGATCTAATGGTAAAAGGAAGAACAAAGGAAAGGAAGAAGAGTTTCCAAAGGAGGTGATCTAGATCATGCAACAAAAATAAGAACAATAATATATGTTATAACTATTAGAGAGAAAGGCATTGGAAGAGAAATTGTCCAAAGCTTAAGAAAGATAGAGCAAGTACTTCAGAGTATGGTGGAGCAGTTGTGGCCTTAGAAGAATCAGATGGTAGAAATGTTCTTTTTGTCTCATCTAATGTAGATAATGATGAGTGGATTCTTGATTCAGCATGTACCTTTCACATGACGCCTTACAAGGATTTTTTGTCACATACAAAGAGATTAACAATGGCAAAGTTCTAATGGGGAATGATGGTGCTTATAGTATAGTTGGTAAAGGTACAATGCAAATTATGATGATTGACGATATTGTGAGAACATTAATTGATGTGAGGTTTGTTCCTAAACTCAAAAAATTTAATTTCTTTGAGCATGTTAGACTCTCTTGGTTGTTCATATCGAGTTGAAGGAGGAGTCTTGAGAGTTTCTAAAGGTGCCATGGTAGTTATGAAAAGAAAGTTAAAAATGGACTATATATCTTACAAGGTAGCATAATGGTAGGTGCAACTACGATTTCTTCTATTTAAGATTTTGACTAGACTTGTTTATGACATATGAGGTTAGGTCATATGAGTGAGTGTGGAATGAATGATCTTAATGAGAGAGGTTTTCTTGATGGACAAAGAATTGAGAAGCTAGATTTTTGTGAGCATTGTGTTTATAGAAAACAATGTAGAGTAAAATTTAGCACTAGAGTTCGCAAAACGCAAGGGTCTTTTAATTATATCCATTTAGACTTGTGGAGTTTGTTAAGTGTTCATTCTCATGGTGAAGAAAGGTACATGTTAACTTTCATCAATGATTATTCATAGTTTGGATTTATGTCTTAAAATAAAAGAGTGATGTTTCCTCAAGTTCAAGCAATGAAAATCTCTAATGTAGAAACAAATAGAAAAGAAAGTCAAACGACTTAGGATAAATAATGGGTTGGAATTTTGCAATCGAGAATTCAATGAGTTCTATGCAAATGAAAAAATGGCTTGCCATAGAACTTTGAGGCACACACCAAAACAAATGGCATGGCAAAACAAATGAATAAGACATTGCTTAAGAAAGCTTGTTGCATGCTCTCAAATGTAGGTTTGCCCAAGAAGTTTTAGTAAAGGCAATTAATATTGCATGTTATTTGGTGAAAAAGATCTCCTTCAACAATTATTGAATGAAGACTCTAGAAAAAATGAAGCTAAACTTTATGGCAAATTATTGAATTTTGTGTGTATTTGGTTGTTCAGCTTATGCTCATGTTAGTGAAGGGAAGTTGAAAACAAGAGCTAAGAAATGCATATTTTTGGGTTATTAAGATGGTGTAGAAGGATACATGTTATGAGACCCTACAAAACCAAAACTAATGATTAGTAGAGATGTGACTTTTGATGAGATAACCATGTTTAACTCAAAACCACATGAAGATCATGATAATAAAGTTGAATTTCATGATGCTAGCAAAAAGGTGGAGATTGAAACTGAAGCTCTTAAACAAAAATCAAAAGACACACAAGATGAAGCCATAGTAATCGAGTTTGAGTATATATTGACTATAAATAAGCCAAGAAGACAAACTAGACCACCTCAAAGGTATGAGGATTTTATTGCTTTTGCACTTAATGTGACAAAAAACATTGATGACTAATAACCTAGTTCATTCCATAAGGCATTAATTGTGCTAAAGCAACACAATAGATTGGTGTCATGAAAGAAGAGTTTGAATCCCTCCACGAGAATCAAACTTGGGATCTTGTTAAGAAATTTGTTGATCAAAAGATCGCGGGTTACAAGTGGATATTCAATAAGAAAGACAGAATAAGGTTCAAAGAAAGACTTATTACAAAATGATTTACAAAAGTAGAAGGTATTGACTTTAAAGAAGTTTTTTTCCTATTGTGAAACATATTTTTATTTGAGTGCTTCTTGCTTTGGTATCTCTACATGACTTGGAGTTAGAATAACTAGATATGAAGATAGATTGTCTCCATGGCGATTTGGAGGAAAGGAATTATATGCAACAACCAAAAAGGTTTGTCATACCAAGAAAAGAAGACCATGTGTTTCTATTGAAGAAGTCACTATATGGGTTGAAGTAGTCGCCCAATTAATGGTATAAACGATTTGACTTGTTTATAATTGACATTGGATATACAAGAAGTGAGTATGATAGTTATGTTTATCATAAAAAATTGTTTGAAAACTCTTATATTTACCTGTTTCTTTATGTTAATGACATGTTAATTGCATGTAAGTATCCAACTGAGATTAACAAGGTGAAGGCACAATTAAGTGGTGAATTTGAGATGAAAGATTTAGGTCTGACAAGGAGAATTCTTGATATGGAGATCATAATTGATCAAAAAGTTGGAAGATTATGTTTATCCTAAAAAAGTTATATTGAGAAAGCTCTAGAGAGATTTGGAATGCTAAATGCAAAATCGGTTAGTACACCTTTTACAACTCATTTTAAATTATATGCAAAAATGTCACCACAAACAAAAGATGAAGAGGAGTTCATGTCTTAAGTGTCTTACTCTAATGCAGTTGGAAGTATAATGTATGTCATGATTTGTACTATACTAGATATTACACATGTGGTGAGTATTGTTGGTCATTATATGGCTAATCTAAGAAAGGCTCATTGGTAAGCTATTAAGTGGGTTCTCAAATACTTGAAAGGTTCAACAAATGTAAGTCTAGTGTTTGGAAGATAAACAAATGATAGTCATGTTACTGAATTTTGTGAATTAGATTATGTCGATGATTTTGATTGTAGGAGGTCCTTGATTGGTTACATTTTTGCGCTTAGAGGTAGTACTATTAGTTGTCGTGCAACTTTATAGTCTACTATTGCCTTGTCAACTACAAAGGCAATGTATATGGAAGCTACAAAATTGGTGAAGGAAGCTTTAAGGCTTAAAGGTCTTGTTGGTGATCTTAGCATAAGTCAAAAGAACATTACAGTGTTTTGTGATAGTCAAAGTGCATTTTATTTAGCAAGGAACTACATGTATCATGAAAGGACAAAGCATATTGAAGTTATGATGCATTTCATTCATGATTTCATAACACGAGGTGATATGTTGGTAAAGAACATTGTTACTTCTGATAATACAACAAATGTGATGAAAAAAGCTCTTCCATCAGTAAAGTTCAAACATTGTTTGGACTTAGTTGGAGTTACAAATGTCATTTGACATTAAAAGTAGGTGGAGCAACATAAAGCAACGATAAAAGTTATCTGACATATAGAATTCAAGTCAAGGTGTGGATTTGTGATGTATGGCTTGAATATGTTTTCTATATATAGTAAATAGTTATAATCCATTCATCAAATTATTGGTTTAGTTGATATTAACTATCCATAATAGAAAACTTGTGTTGCTTGTATTTTAATATAAATAAGTGCATGATACTATAACAATTCATTCAAGTAGAAAAATAAAAGTAATAAGATTTAACCCTTAGTGAGCATTGTGAAAGATAAAAATTTTGTTGAGACTTCTTCTTTATAATTTTATTCTTTTCTTATTAACAATTTTTTTTTAGTGTCAACTTTCTTTTATATAATTATATTTTTACGTGAAATATGATTTTATTATAACAAAAATAATATAATATATAATATTTTATAATTAAATGATAGAAGTACATTCATAAATGTATATACTATATACTCAAACAAAAAAGTTACTTTTAATAATTGAAGACTAATAATATATTAATTGATATTTAATTTTATTCATTTCTAAAATAAATTCTATACATCTTTTATTTTGTGATACATATCACGATTTTTATGACAAATTAAATTAATATTTTTTATATAATGATAGTAATAGGAATTAAAATTAAAAATTTAAATAAATTATCAAAACTTTTCACTAATCATACAAAGTAAAATTAATATATGTATATTTAATTAAAATATTTTTAACAATAAACCATAGTCCGAATATAACTAAACTAAATTTTCTTAAATAAAGTCTTATATTACTAAAATCATGATTATAAAAGAAATTAAAATATACATTTTTTTCCTTAATTTTTCTTATTATTACTTAAATGTCTTTGATCTATAATAAGTATTCCTTCAAATACGGGATTTTGATTTCAATTTCAGCATTTATGTAACAGAAAATATATTGTTGTGATAAATTCTCACTTTAATGTTAGATTATATTTGAGAAATTAGTTTCTCAACTATCAAAGGAAAGAATATTTTAAACAAAAGAAAATAAAATTAAACATAATAGAATTGAATATTTACAATTCTTAACATGTATGGACTATCTTATAAAAGAAAATTGTTTTGAACTTATAATTTATTTATTAATTACTTTTTTTAAAATATATTAATCTATACCTATATTCTATAATTATAACAACATATTAATCTATACTATACCTACATTCTATAATTATAACAACAAAAGAGATACAGTTTTTTTTAGTGTTTACCTTTTTAAAGACATTTATGTTTTTTTTCATAGAACACAAAATGTTATTTTTCTAATTAGTCTATATATAAAAGCAATAGTTATTTTGGACAACTTTCACTTTTTATTAGAGACTTTTATCTTTAATTAATACCACATATTTTTATAATTTAATTCAACTCACAATCTAATTATATTTCATTGAGTTGGTCTTAGATTAAGTCAAGTCATACTTAATTGATCTATTCACACTTTTTTATATTTAATTTTCTTAAATGCTTTCTTATTTTAATTTAAAATAATTTTATATTATAATTTTGAAAATATGTTTATTACAAAATTTAATTATAATACAACTTTTATCTTAAAAATATTTATTTATGATAAATTTTGAAGAAGCGTATAATAAGAGTAGGCGACACTGAAGCAAAATTTGGGTTAAGTATCGGGCAACAGGAATCGAAGCAACGAACAAGCAATTACAAATTAAACGGCTCCAATTCCCAACTTGTCTCCTAAACTCATTTCTTTTTCAGATTTTACACAATACAAACACTAACACAGGTACTATTTCACTTCCTTTCATTATTATTAAATTCAACAACCTTCACTTTCTTTGATCTTCCAAACCGATCTTTATTTTACTTCGCCCTAATTCAACTTCAATATCTTTTCAATTTTAATCACTTCCATCATGAACCGCGTTTGGTTTTGGTTTTGGTTTCAATTTGAATTTCACAAACAGATGTTTCCCTGTAAGAAGCCAAACGTTATGTGAATAAGCCTTCGATTCGTCGTGACCTAAATCCTCTGTGAAATCCGTTCAAATTAATTTTATTCATGTTTTAATTTGACATTCGTGTATTTTTAGACCCCTAACTCATCTTTGTTTCAGTTTCTTTGCAGTTGAAAGTTATGCTGTTTGGTTTAACTTATTATCTTTTCTTTCTATGCCAGGGATACACAATGATAGGATCTTTTCTTACGAGGGCACTAATGTATGTTTTTGCTATACTAAATTCTCTGACCATTCTTGTATAATGGGTTTATGCTGGAAATTTCAAGATTTAGGTCTTGTTTGATCATTCTTGTATGATGGGTTTACGCCGGAAATTTCAATATTTAGCTCTTGTGTGGACAAATTTTCTCATCTAAAGTTTGTGCATAAATTAATTTATGTAAAAGCTCTCTGATTTCATTTTAACTTTTGCATAAACTAATTTTAACTTATACAACTTATACAAGAAGTTTCTTTTATTTTTTCTTATAAGTATATATGAAAAAGTTTATTGAAATAAGGTTTTGGTGATTTAGTATTTTCATCTATATTTTTTTGCAGGATGGTTTTTGGCTATGCCTACCCAGCCTATGAATGCTATAAATCAGTTGAAAAGAATAAGCCAGAAATTGATCAACTTCGCTTTTGGTGCCAGTACTGGTAGATTGCACGTCAATCATCTGCATAAAACTTCTAAATAACTGTTTGTAAATATCAATATCGGCTTCTCTTCTGACCCTGTTGTGTTGTAGGATTTTGGTAGCTGTTTTGACAGTATGCGAGCGGATTGGTGATACTTTTATATCATGGTAACGGATACTATCTTTGATGGATGCAGAGAATGCTGTCCTTTTGTAATTTAAAAAAGAAAAAAGTTTATAGTGCTTTCTTTTTAAAATAAGAAGCTTATTCTTCTTGAAGGGTCCCAATGTATAGTGAAGCTAAACTGGCATTTTTCATATACTTGTGGTGCCCGAAAACGAAGGTATGAAATTATTTACTGTGGTAGAATCTGATATTGTTCTATTATTTGTTTTTCTTCAGTTTGATGGTTAAATTTAATGCCATTACCTGTGTTAGGGAACAACATATGTGTATGATTCCTTCTTTAGACCGTATGTTGCTAAACATGAGACAGAAATTGATCGCAACTTGTTGGAACTAAGGACAAGGGCAGGAGATATTGCAGTTTTGTATTGGCAAAAAGCTTTTAGTTATGGCCAGACTAGAATATTTGACATTTTGCAGTATGTTGCCTCACAATCAACACCTTCACCTCGCCCTGCTGAGGTAGTTGTTGAGCATGTCTTAGTTTCTCTACTAATATATTTGAGGAGTGGCTTAGCTATATTGGCATTCCTATGTAGAAAATTTATCAGCTTTCCTTTAGTCATCAGAGTTGGTATATCATATGTGCTTGTGCTTGACTCAGCATATTTTCGGGAAACAATTGCTTTCAGAGAAAATTATCAGAGCATATTTTCAACTTCTTAAGAGAATTGAAGAAAATAAATATTACCTGAGAAATAAGCCTTCCAAATCATGCGCTTGGTTTGTGCTGCTTACCCTTCATTCTTTTATTGCTTATTTCCAGGATATTATATATAGATATTCAACATGTGTAAGTACATATAGATGTCCATGCCAACACTGATTTCAACTAATATCTGTTAAATGAATAATCTAGGAAGGAGATATATTTTGCTTATGTAAAAAAACTTTTGTCTGGTCTAGAATGACACTTTTCAGTTTTTCTTGAAGGAAAAATAATCTTGATATCTAGTATATGTTTTCTAAAGGTGATGCTGCTATTACATTCTACGTTTTGTATGAATTTCTCTAAAACCACCTTTAAAAGAGGAAAATAAGAAGGAAAGATGAAATAAATTTTTCTTAAAAGCTAAAATTAGTTTATACATAATAAGTTAATATGTAGAAACTTTTCTGTATTAGTTTCTTGAATTTTAACGTCTGAGAAAATTATTTTATTTTCTTATTTTTTTCTTATGTTTTTTGACAAATTTATTCCCACAAGTTCAAATTATATTCCATTTCCTTGTTGTGCTTAGCTTTACTCATGTGAAAAACTTCTCTGTATAATTCACAGCAACGACCAACTGTGAGGGTGCGTCAACCCTCATCTAGTAATAGCCAACCAGGGGCTGCAACAGAACCACAAGCTGAGAATCCATCTCCTCCTACTTCCAGCTCACCCAGTCAGCACCAGAAGGAAGTGGCAGAGGAGTTGGGTGCTTCACAAGTGCCTAAAGCACCCTCCTCCATTGTAGCAGGTTTAAGTAGCCTGAAGTCTAATCCTATTCCCGAAACCACCAATCAAACCGCACCTGCAGAGGCAAATCCAATGCAGATTGAAGCAGAAGCACCTTCTGCAAATGAAGATGAAAACCCTCCCTTGGAAGATACAATAATGGAAGAAAGCATTAGGGTTACACGAGGTAGACTAAGAAAGAATCGATCAGCTGGAATCCGTTAGGCATCAGTATTTTCAATTTTTAGCCTGAAAACACATTAGTAGGTGGACAATGGGTGTGGAATTGTACAATATATGTAAATCCCTTTCCTCAGTTTTCTTTCCATTTATTGCGTTTCTTTTTCATACGAATAATTTTATTTTCTTTAGCATCTTATAAATAGGGATGGCAAAGTGCGGGCCACGGCCCGTTGGCCCGCCAAAAATTGGTGGGCCGGGCCCATCATTTTAACCCGTCAAGCCTGTCAACCCGCCAGGCCAAATAGCGGGCCGGCCCATCACAACCCGTCGGCCTGCATATTTTTTTTTAATTTAATTATTTTTATGTTTATTTTATTTTGATGTAGATGAGGATGAAGATGATCAAGAAAAAAAGTAGAGATAACTTCTTCCAAGAGAGCTTCTAATATTCTTAAATAAAAATTCAAAGTTAATTAATTGTATTTGAACTTGTTTTGTGGACTATCAAAAAATTTAGTTTATAAGTAATTTGTAAGTTTATAATTTGGTTTTGATATTGGTGTAAGTGGATTAATTTCTATTTGATTTTGTTCTAAATTTGTAATTTGTTTTTGTTGAACACATATTATGTACAATATGTATGCATTTTTAATTTCATATGATTATATTTATTTATTTGTAGCAAAAAATATTTATTTGAACATAAAATATATTTTTTTCCATTTTTTTATAATTTTTTTTTGTATGCAGGCTGGCTGGCCAACTTGCCAGCCTGTCCTTAAACGGGACGGGCCAGCATCCCCAGCCCATTTTACATTGGCGGGCCGGGCCAGGTCGTTTTTGGAGGGCCAATGGCGGGTCAGACCAAAACGGGCCGGGCTGACCCGTTTTGCCATTCCTACTTGTCAATCCCTTTATTAAATGAAAAAAATATTAATGTTTATTTTATGTTTTAAGATATTGAATATATTTTTATTTATAAAATGTTTTTAAAAAAGATATTATAGGAAGATATAATGTTAAAATAAACAATAAATATGTTTTTTTTTTTTTTTTTTAAAAGCGTTCCTTTTTAATAAAATATGCACTTTTTTTATGTTTTAATGTGTTTGTTTAAACTTTCTTTTTATTTTTATTTTTTTAAAAAAATAAGTAGTTTTTTTAGGAAGTAACTCTTAACTACTTAAAGAATTGTTTTTTTAAAGCATTTGTTTTAAAAAAATACTTATTTTTAAGTTTAGACAAATAAACCTAATATGTGAACTGATAATGTAAAAAAAATTATATTGCTTTTAATTTTATTGACTTTATTATAACTGATTTTTAGTTCATAATATAATTATTTTTATATAATGCATCCATATTAAACTCATTATATTATTTTTTTTTTAAAACCAACGAAAACATATTCTTTGCATTGGAAAAACATTTTAAATATAAAGAGGAATTTTATTACGAATATTCTCTGCATCAAACAATAAAATTTTTAGTTAAGGAATGTGCTACCAAATTACTTTCTCCTCTGCCATATATTGAATAATAACATAAAAAAAAATCTCATAAATTATCTAATTTGATTAAGAATTATGTAACAGTCAAATATCTTTCTCATTATTATGAATCTAATCTACTATCATTTTGTAATCTAATTCAATAATCACATTACGAAATAGGTGATTGTGGAGTCAATTAAGAGTATGCAATATAACACTTGTTTCTTCCCCTTTTACTAACATTAGCTTTGCTTCTTGCTTGCAAAAAATCACTTCTTTCATTCCTTAAATAAGATTCAATTCCTATTATGCCTACCTTAATAAATAAAAAGTTGCATCACAATTGCACTTCAATTTGCCTAATAGGGGAGGAATCCACACATTTAAAGGAGATTTCATAACCTACACAAGATTTATTTGATGCTTATAAACATTCAATATTTTGCTAATATTTAACCAATCTACAAGAGTAAATCTTACTCTATTCAACACTACATTCATTTCATTTCATTCCTTTTTTACCAAATACTCCACATAGTCATAACCAAATGTTGAAATTGATCCCTTAATAATATTTTATTTAATTTTAAAAATAAATTATTAAATAATTCATAGTTCAACATAACCTGATCAACTACAATTCACATCTTTGTCAAACTTCAAGGCTTTGTAAACATGTTATCATACTATGCCAATAATTTTCTACTTTATTAGATCAAATATGCAAGAAACAAGGCAAGATATATATACTTTGCAATTTATTACGTGTTGATAGAACATCCCTACAGACCTTTTAAATAAATATCTTCACTTTAGAGGACACTTGAAGCTTCCAAATTATATTCCAATCACCATCAACTTTTATCTCTTCATGATTATCAATATGATTCATGTTGGCCTTGTAACTAGATTTTTCTATATATATCCCATTTGATGATAAACTCCAAATCAACTTATCATTTGAATACATGAAAACAATAAACATTCGTTGAATTAAATCTGTCACAAGAAAAGGTACTAATAAGTGAACAAATCATCATAAATATCATTTATTAGAATCTTGAACCATGAGATCTTTAACAACAAGTTGTGACAAACTTAGATGAGGAGATAAACCAATACAATTAGATGTCATACCTCTCAACCAAGGTTCCTTCCACATATTAATTTTTGAATTTTCACCAATCCTCCACATCAGACCTTGCTCAAGTATAACTCAAGAACTCTAAATGCTACGCCAAATATAACTAGGATTATGACCAATACTAATACTGGAATCCGTAAAATCTCCTTGTGGGTAGTATTTAGTTTTGAAGAGTCTTGACACATAGCATTGGGGCTAGAAATAAATCTCCTCCCTTGTCTCCCAGGCATTGCTAAATTAAAGGAATGAAGGCTTTTAAAATTCATACCACCATCTTCTTTACTCACAATAAGTTTATCCCAAGATATTCATCTAATGCCTTTCTCTCTAGTACCCCACCAATAAGAATTGAGCATCCTTTCAATCTCTTCACAAGTAGATTTTGGGATCAAATAAGCACTCATCACATAAGTGGGAATAGACTGAAGGACAAATTTGATCAATTCACTTCCTGCCTTGGAAGTCTCCTTCATGTTCCTCCCGGTCATAGAAGGCATTCTAATATTTCCAGAACCCAACACAGATTGCACTTCCAGTTTTGAAGAAAGAATATTTTTCTTAACATCAAGTGTGTTAGGACTAAAATTCAAATTTGTTGAAATTTATGGCTTGTTCTGATGCCTTCTCATACACCTGAAGAATTTGATGAAGAGATTCTACTTCATTCTCAGTAGCCCTGCAAAATAGAAAAAGTCATCTGCAAACAACAAATGAGAGATCGTAGGAGCTCCTCAGCAAAGGGATATTCCATGGATATGACCCTCTTTTTTAGCTTTACTCATTATATTATTAGTAGTTTTCATTTTGAAGTTTTGTTCGGGCTTGAGAGAGTCAGTAGTTTGCCATTTTATATGATGAATTCACAAAGATATATTTGCATCGACTATTTATAGCAGGCCTTACGTTGGGATAGATCAAAATGTTAAAAAAGTTGGGGGTTGCTTTTTGCGCCCCTACTTTTTGTTTTTTGTCAAACCACGCCTCTCTCCGTCGTGTTAGGGCCTTACGTTGCTTTTTGCCACTTTATAGAAAGTACACCTCCTTTTTTTTTTTTTTAAATAATTAAATTTCTAAAGTATTGTTAATTTTTTATTTTTTATTTTTAATTTTAATTTTACATTCACAACATTTAATTTAGTATTTTTTTTCTCACACATTTTTCTTCTTTTTTTCTTTCAATTTTTATATACACCCATTTACCTTTTTTTCATTCACCTATTTTGGTAGCATGTAAAAATTAAAAGAAAAAAAAAAGTGTGTGAAAAAGAAGAGCAAAGTAGAAAATTGAAAGTTGGAAGTGTAAGATTAAAAAATTAAAAAAAAATTATAATATTTTAAATTTTTTAAAAAAAATTAAGGAGGTGTACTTATAAAAAAAAAAAGGAGGTGTATATATCATGAGCCCACTTTATATGATGAATTCACAAAGATATATTTTTTTTTAAAGGATTGATTAATTAAAAAAAAACTTTTTCGTGCATATTATTATCAAACATGCTTGAGAAATAAAATTATTTATCAACTCCGTCGGACTTCATTGATTGTCTTTGGATATTAAAGCCATCTTTACTCTGTTACTTGTATCTCCAAGCTCCACTAACCCCACTCACTTCACTTCTTCAAATGAAACAAATGCTTATTCAAAATTTGTTGTTGTCTTCTCTCATGAACCACGATGATGACCATTCTAGCTTTGCTTCCAACCTTAATATCTACTCCACACACGAAAAGATTTGCCAAAACAACAGTGAATGACCTAAAAAATTTATTCATTTTCTCTCTCTCTTTGTATTTCAAGTTTTTTTTTTCTTTTTTTTTTTCTTCTCGTTTGCTCCATAAACCAGACAAAATGCAAGTGGAAATAGACGGCTAAAAAGCTCTACAAGACCTAAACTTCACCTATTTATCAACTTTAAGACATATACCTTATTTATTTGACAATAAATCCTTTTAAAGTCCTAACTTAGCATTATAAAAAAAAAAAGGCAATTGTTTTACATTTTTGTACTTTTTTTTTTTTTCAAAAATACCTTGTTTTCATGCTAGTACACATTTGTATTTCCATTTGCATTTCCATTTTTATTTCACCACATATTTGTCCGGTGCTTCGCACATCTATCCGCACTAGTGCAATTATCATAAAATGGAATAACACCACAGATTCCACTGACGGAATTTCCTATAGCTACTCGTTTTCCATTTTTGCTTCCAAGTTATAAGTTCACCACTTTTAGGGCACTAGTTAAAGAATTAAAGTAGACAATTTTTATTTGAAAGTGTAATAACAATCTTGTATAACTTTAATGTAATTTAAAAAAAAAATCAAAATATTGATTCTTTACATATACAGGAAGGGTTTGATCGAAGGATAAAATTTGAATACCCCTTAAGTTATATAAAAACTAAACAAGTCCAAGAACAACTTAAAAGTTTTGTTAAAGATAATTAAATAGATAATGAATTGTTACCACAATATTCCGACCTATAAAGTTAGTATAAATAATAACATATTAAAAGAAAAAAAATGT